CGACGAAAATAATTGTTTTTCGATTCCAGGATTTTGGGTTTGAGGCGCTGCTGCGCCCTTGCATGGGCTCCGTTCGGTCTAATATTTGGCACAGAGTCTACCTAAGACTAGTACTTTGAAAATATGAAACATTTAGCAAAATCCAGGTGGGGCCGGAAAAGGCCCAAAACGTTACTCCTCCTTTATTGGAAAGAAAACAATCGTGGAAGATTGTTGAACTAGACCTATTGTTTACGTTTATTGACTTACATTAATTACGTACTTTGGACTACAGGGTATTACATCCGGTATGACATCGCTGGCTTTCAAATTCCTTTTCATTTCTTCAGGAGGCCATTCGTGAGGAAATAACGGGATGAGAGGGTCAACGTCATCCTCAGGTTTGAATCGTTGTCTAAAACCCCTTTTTCCAACCACCAAATAGTTCTGCAACTGACACAATTGAGTAACACAATAATATAAGATCACAATATACGATTTTAGCATTGTTTTTTGCTTTTTGGGGCAGGAGGAGGTGAGACTAATTTGGATCGCTCAAAACAAAAAGACGTTAGAATTGAGGAGGTTGGCATAAAACGGACGGATTATACTTTATTGACGAAAAAATAGAGCACAAAATTCTAACACTTCATTGAGAGATCAGATATTACTAACAGTACTCGGCACGTAAATCTTAGAAGAAAAGTCCTGGAAAGTTCACTTTATAAAATTTAGCCGTGCAGCAATACCGTAAGAGATTAAGAGTCGTGTAATTAGTGGTTAACATGAAAGAGAGGGGAGGGTTGCAAGAGAATTAAGCATGACGACGTATTCATTTTATCATGTCCCTCTATCAAACTTTACTAATCTAAGGTTTATCTATCCAGGTCGAAGTGAACAATCAAATGCAAACAAACCAACTGAGCAGTTGAATTCAAGTTGGTCTTTTTTTTCCAGCAAGCGCGGCGCGCTGGCGCCTACAAACCTAAGGGGATACTTCGCGCAATGCTTGAAGTATCCCTGTTGGGTTTATAGGCGCCAATGCGCGTTCCGCGCTAGTCGACCGCCCGCCACGCCGCAGCGTGCCACGGCGTCTCAAGCAGCTATTTCACAAAAGAGGTGTTGAACGGTATCATACGAAATTGAAGGCACATGCACCAACGGATAAGAGAGACTCTATTTAGGCAGAAACATTCTTGAGTTTGCCGTGGTCGTTCTTAATACCATAAAAGTAATCAGACACCCGAGGCACTTTTTCCCCGTTCTCATAGAATATAACATTGAAAATCGAGACCATGTAGGTTTTTCGGATTCAGTCAATTTCTCGGCAACAATATATATTCATGACTGACTTTTCCAGGAGTTGGCATTTCTATTGATGAATTGTACGTTCTAATTTCTCCAAAAACCACCAAAGATCTTGATTTTAGAAATTTCAAATTTGAAGAAGGAAGGAAATTGAAATTTCCAAAATCAATATCTTTGGTGGTTTTTGAAGAAAGTAGAACGCATTATACATCAATATAAACGCTGAATCTGTGAGAATTTAGTCGTGAACATATTTTTGCCGAGAAATTGACTGAATTCAAAAAACTATGGTTTCGATTTCCCATGTTATTTTCCGAGAGAAAGGAAAAAAGTGGTCGCCACGTGTCTGATCGGCTGAAAAAAACGTACGGGAAGATCTGGTGGTCACGCACTTTCTCTTTTCCATGAGAACTTTTATTTCCTCTTTGGGATCATCAGACTTGACCTAATCGCGAGCATATCTACACTGGATCTGGCCCTTCTATATCCGACGGTTCCAATACATCTGGTGGAATCAGAGTCGTTGTTGTCCGTGATTTCTTGTAGTTCCTTCCATAACCTCTCTTTTTAGAGGAGCCGTCGTCATCAGGTCGTATGATGCTGTGTCCCATGTAAGGATTTGCTGATGGCGGAGTCCACTCGCAGTAGAGGAAGTTTCCCGCCACAGGTCCCACGAGCTTGTATTTTTTTACAATCGTGCGTATATCCCATTTCGCACGGTGTGTGTTGTCTGGTCTGAAAATATAAAAAGAAAAAAATATATGACGCACCTGTGATATCCACATTGGGTTTTTTCAACAATAGCTTCCCATTTCAATGACATTTGGGTTGCATTTAATCGTATGGAGAATGAGTTTAGATGAGATCTTATACGTGTTGTAAACACTTATGCACTGGAAAAAAACCCATTGGATCAAGAGTCCAGACTCTTAAAAACATCGACAAGAAAAAGTTCTCTTGATTAAATCAGATTCCAGCTTAAATCAAGAACCAAGCCTCCTAATTTAAGCGGATTTCGTTTTGATTTAAGCAAAAATCCGATTGAATCAAGATTATTTTTCCTTGTCAATGTTTTCAAGAGTCTGGACTCTAGATCCAATGTGTTTTTTTTCCAGCGTGTGTTTATGGAGTTTCATGGATCCTTGGTGAGGGAGGAGGGTGGGGGTGGGTGCGAGTGCTTCATTTTTCCTGTTCAATCTGACCTAGCTTCTTCTTCCGATTTCGTAAAGGATTAAAAGAATTACAGTAATAAAATAATTTTTCACTAGTTTTATACTATTGCGCGTGTGTCTTCATTTGAAAACGGTGTTAATATGTACGTACAAATGGTTTGCTTAACGGCATCTTACTAAGAAACAACAGTTGTTGGAACTTGGAGGGAAAATCTGCAGCAAAATCAATCGGAAAGGAGCTATTCAGCCGAGAGCTATAGTTAAGTTATGCAACCGAAGTTCATGATCGAATACATGAACAATGGAACAGTTGAAGGTATATTAAGATAGAGGTTTCAGTTTTCAGCTACTACTCGATTTACTTTGCTAAACTTGTTATGTTTCTCTACGTCCGAACCGTATTTAATATGTTTTAATAAATACTCGAGAATGTTCAATTATGTTTTTTCCGAAGAAAGAAAAATTCGGGAAAACTCCTCCTGCTTTTAATTTCACTTGTTAAACAAATTTTAAATTTTTAAACTTGTTTTTCCTTCTCAATCGATTTTTTCTGATTTGTTCTCGTTGAAAAAAATTCTGCCACTGCGTGCAGTCCTCTCCTTTTAGAGACAAAAAAATGTTAAGAGCAACAAACGAGCATGGTAACTAGCTCGCAGTCAATACTTACAGGTGATTCAATCGTGGCTCCAGGTACAGAGTTCTGTAGAATGGTTGTTTGTATACAAGAAAAGCATACCGATGTGGCCCTGCAGAAACATAAATTCCTCCGTGACTTTTGACAGCGTATGCAAGGAAAGCTCTTTGAATACTATTCGTAAATATTAAATTAAAACCAACAATAATGAACCACTAGATAAGGTGCGAATTTCAGCATTCTGATACATGTTTCACGTAAAACACGATGCGCACTACAAAAATTACCGAAATCAATTCCTCACAAATATATTTAATGATTCCTGATGCGTGAATTCAAACCACCTGCTCATTAAAACTCAATGCTCTACGTGACTCACATCGCGCGCTAAACATTATCATGACAGTCTCTGCGATATAAACATCTGGCAACCTCAATCTTAACGCTTTGGCTCAGCTATAGCAAATTGCTTATAGTTTGAACAACACATGGTGGGAAATGAACATTTCTCGTTTGAGAAGCTTGCTGAAACCGTTGTGTTGCGCGAGTTGACTCATGTAGAGCTTTGAGTTCCTTGTGAGCGGGCAGTTCAAATTCCTCGCAACCAATGTGAAATAAAAACGTTCATATCTTCGTTAGGAGTTGGTTTCAGTGATTTTCGTTGCGCGAATCGTGTTCTATCGTGTTCTACGTGAAATTATGGTTTCGAAACATGTATCACACATGGACCACTGTCCATTATTGAATCCTCAAGGAGGCAAAGTCTAAAACTTCATCGTCTATTAAAATACGGTCTCCTCTGATTTTCCCCCAAAAAGCAATATATTTTCTTAGAAATCAGCTAGAACGATTGAAGTCAGCATTTTTTAGCATGACTACTTTTTCCAAACATAGAAATCTAATCTATGCTCTATGATTGTTTGAAAAATATTTTTACCATTATTACTTCATCATTATTTCTTCGAACTTTAGAGAGGTAGACGTTTTAAGAGATGCTAAAGAAAGTGTATTTTCGTCTTTTCGTGCACACTGGTCGATTGCGATATCTTAGTCATTACTTTCAATTTAGAATCGCCACCTTTACTTATTTATTTATTTTTTTTTAGCTATCCTCAAAATTATTTAAACTTCATTCACAGTGGATTTGACATTCTTATGACCCAGAGTTGGAGGCGAACAGCACGTAAAACAAAGTATTACCTGTGCCATTCTTCGGAAACGGTGCGAGGTACTTTGCCAATATTTCGGCTGTCTCAATTTCAAATCCTGGCATGTTGGCCAAACCCCAGTGATAGTATGACCTTTTAGTCGCATTTTCTCTGGAGGGCGAATCTAAATCTGAAATGGTGCATGCAAGATTACAATAATATCACAAAATTGATCTCGCATAGAGATCCTTCGTGCACCAATTGGAAAACGATGAGAGGGGAGAAGATGCAATACGGAAACGTACAATGAATATATTACAAACATTTGAGACAGATTTTTTCCCAATAGGGGTTTCAAATAAATTGTCGTCGAAAAATTTCTTAAAACTCTACAACTGCAAATATCATTATCCTGGAATTACAAACTTTTTCATTTAACTCGTTTGTTTTTGAATTCTCTGTTTCCAAGAAAACAAGAAGAGAAGGATTGAAAATGCGTCTTCGTGTTTTCTCGCGATAAGAAGCCGCTATACGACGACTAAAGTAAATATATAGGTAAAAGATATTGGAGATACTCAACTCGCCGATGACAAAAAAAAAAAACCTGTATCATCAGTCACTACCCTGCACTCTGACGTCTTATAATAAATTTGCAAATGGGCCTGTTGCATTTTTTTGCTAGGGCAGAATGAAGAGTTGTTTCCTATAGATAATGCCTCAAAAATCACGATGAGCGCATCGGCAAAGTCTGAAATGCACTCATAAATTCACAATCTGCGTAAGAAATTTGCGTTATTTTGAGCTTCCCGCTTCAAAAACGATACTACTGCACAGGTGAACATTTTGTTAGAGGAGTCGCTCCATCGTCGGCAATATTCATCATGGCCGACGCTTGCGCAGTTCCTCGCGTAATTCGAGGAGAGTTCAAGGTCAATTAAGGCGGGCGAGGCAAATATGAACGTAAACACGCCGATTGTTATCTGGTTTAATCCTGTTCAGGTGTTATCTCGTCCCATCACACGTGTTTTGGCGGACTGGCGTCGGCCATGATGAGTATTGCCGCCAATGGAACGACTCCTCTAACAAAATATTCACCTGTGCCGTAGTATCGTTTTCGAAGCGGGAAGCTCAAAAAACCGCAAATTTCTTACGCAGGTTGTGAAGTTATGAGTGCATTTCAGACTTTGCCGATACGCTCATCGTGATTTTTGAGGCATTATCTGTAAGAAACAACTCTTAGTTTTGCTCTAGCAAAAGTTTGCAACAGGCCCATTCTTACGAAGCTTATTTTTCCATACCGAAAAAAGTCCGTGTTACCATTGCAAGGGCCCATCTTATACTCGATCTACAATGAGGATCCTTTTTATCCACACTAGACTGTATTCTTAAGAGGACAAGAGTCTTGTTACCATTACAAGACCCTGGGACGAGACTCTTGTTTCTACAGCACGGCATTTCATGCGGTTACATTAAAAAAAATGGTAAATTTTAGACCATACTCAGACACAATGATACGAGTATGGTAATGGACACCGGATTCTTTGGTAGAATTTACCACATTATGGTAGGTATCACTAGAATTGATTCCCAAGATTTGTGGTTCGACAGAAAGCAGTGGAGGTTAGGAGTCATAGAGCGCCAGGGAGTGCTGTAAAGCCACCTACATGTATGTATCACTAGAATTCTGGTGTATTTTCCGTCATTCGGGTATTTTCACTAAATAGTATCATTATGTAAAAAATCAAGTAGACTGTAGTAGACTTTACCAGATTTTTTGGCGCGTATACGTAGTATACCGCCTTTGCGATCGTTTCGAACCCTGCTCGATACAATAACCGAGTCCCTTAGTTCCTTACCGAAAAGTGACTACCGCGAACTTCTGAGATTTTCCAAAGCGTGTAAAAAGTTTATTTATCCATCAATAATTATGATTTAAAGTTGTTTCTCATTCTGGGGGTCTCTAGTTTATGTACAGTGAATACCAAGAGTCTACGTTACTTGGTTTTTTTAAAAAAAGCCTAAGAATGCGACGCGCTGATTTAAAATATGCGTATATAAGCAGAATCAAGCGAACTGATTCGAGGATGGCTGAGCAGGTCGGCACTCTCGGAATGAGAATTTAACTCCTCCGTTTTGTTCAAAACGTTGCTTTGACAGATCTGAAACCTCGGTTATACTTTTCAAAAGTTGGTACCCGTGCTCTGATAGTGCAATCTGTGTAAGTGCAATCTGTGATGAGCCTCGAGACTCATTAGACCATTAGCTAAACGTGGCTCATACAGGAATCCACTTACCCCTCTCTTCCCCACGCTCCTGATCACTGCGTCGGCGTCTCAACGAACAATAGCTAATGACGGTCGCCAAGCGAGGCCTGGATCCTCAGCCCCTCGCCCAATTACTTACGCTTCATTAACCATTTCACCGTCACGCTAGGATTCGTCCAATTTTCAAAAAAAATTGTTTCGCGAGTTTTTACCAATTTTTTCCTTACTCTCCGTTAAGACACGAATTAAAAGAGGTCTCATTCATAAAAATCGGCCGAATAGAAGAGAAGTTACAGTATTCGAAATCCGAAGAAATTAACAAAACTTCTCCAAACAAAAAATAAAATGAAGGGGGAAAAAAGAAATGTATAAATTACAATTTAATATGATTGACCTCAGAATGTGACAAGCAATTCAATTATAAAAAGGAGAAAAAATTGAGTGAAATTACAAAAAATTAGCCTCTTGCAAGGGGCTTCCTTGTATGAGTAGTGACCTGAAGACAAGTAAATCCCGATGTATTATTAAAACGAAATTGACTCCATAGTTTAATGCCTTAGTTTCTTGAATACGATTATTTTAAGCACTCGAAAATTTATACCAGCAATTTTACCCATGGGGTGATTTCCTGAAAGCTGATAATATCACGAATTTCTCATAGAGCCCTTCAAAAATGGCTTGCTTTTTGGGCAGCCGATTCGGCCATCAAACCGGGGTTTAAATGGAAGCTGATAATAACACAAAGCTCTGAGAAAAATTTTGAGATGAGTATAGGAACGGTTTGTAAATTACGAGGAGAGGCGGGCGTTCGGTTGAGCATATCGATACATAAGTATTTTCACACGTAGAATTTAATTTTCACGTCAGGGAGTCAACATATTTTGATTTTTTCGATTTTATACGGAAAATTTATGGTTTTTCGGGATTGAAATTACTTACAAATGTTTCATGAAAAATGAATGCACCCAAAATGACTATAGCATTTTGACTTTCACATACGTGCACTCACTAAATTGATTGGTAAATTCAAAGAGTGGGTACATCGACCTGGTATATCAAGTTTCTGCGATTTTTTACGGCAAATCGGTAGATTTTCGGGATGTGGATTGCTTACTTTCAAGTTACGAATGAATAAAACATGGACCTGGTTGAGCTTCTTTGCTGGAAAGACGTTTTAAATAAACAAAATCAAGACATATTTAATACAATTGCATTTATTTCGAGTCAATTTCTTTTCAATAATATAACGGGATTTATAATACCGGTGATTTGGGTATTTTAGCCCCAAAATACCTTTAAATTGACTTTATCTTCTAGGAGTTCGACAGAATTTTTCCTTTCTTCGCTTAAATTTTTCCGTAGCACTTTTCTTCAAGAATCTGATAAGATTTTGCTTGAGGCAGATCAAAAAACTTAAATTTGTTCGAATAGCTTTCTAGATTCACAATACACGGTCTCGTCAAGGTGCGTCGTTGACCTTGCAGTGTTGGATCGTGAATTCTCTTGTTGTGCTGCTTGCCTTTTTTGAAATCTCTGTAAATGAAAACTAAAGGGGTTGATATGTGCGAGTTAATGACGCGCCTTATCAACACATTGTGTTGGAGTTCACTGCTTGTTTTTCAGTGTAACCAGGGAGTCTTGTGCTGTGCATAAAAGTGACAGAGATCGTTGTCTTAAGCACTGTTCTCAAAGGATAAGGCAAAAAGAAAATCTACCCCTCAATTAACCTAGAACCCTCCTTATTTTATCAAAATGAGGAACATTTGTTTGTATGTAAACTGTGGAATCCAAGCAGTAAACTTCACCGTAAAACTTGTGTTGACGGTTCAATAAATCAGTTCAATCACTTGAACGTCTCGAATGTGACTTTCATTTCGATTAGACTTACCAAACATGAACAACGAGTACAAAACATGCCGCTCTGTTGGAAATTCCAAGGCATAAGGATCATACCTCAATTCATCTACCAAGTGTTTCGTCCCGAAATCGGGTCGAACTCCTCCGACGTAATGGATCTGGAAAAAGGGCAGGAAAAGAGAAATTGTTTAAGATATTAGACTGTTTATCTTTTTGGAGACCATATTTTAATGACGCGAGGTGCTCGGTTTGGAGGATGGTTTTCGAAGAATCCGAAAATTACCAAATGAAGGGGAGGAGGCCAAAAATAACCTCATGTTAGGATAAAATGGGCGCTAATTCCATCTAAGTCTATTTTATATCAGTCTATTTTATCCAAGTCTAGATTCTGATCGAAATTTGCGCTGCGATGGGGGGAGAGCAGACGCTGATTTAGACTTGATATTATTTTTTTGAAATTTAAAAAACTAAGCCACATTTACACCTACAAGGCATGAAACGTTGTACGTTTCTTATCCGAGTTTCTGATCGGTGTTCCTTGTGCATGAACATTTTTCCTTCAAATTCTCAGATACTTTAAGTAAAATTTCGTGGAAAAATATCTGACAAATTGGAAGAGCTAAGATCATATATAATCAAAAGTATCCCTGAAAGTTTGTATATTATCCATGAAAATTTGGCGACGTTCGAAAAGCTCATAAAACGTTCTTCCTTAGAACAGTGTGGTTCACGTTTGAAAAGGCAAAATATGACAGGAACTCTGCAATGTGAAAAGTTGAGATACGCGTTTGGTGCCTTTCACAAGCGATATGCATATGAACATATTTCCTCTCACATTTGGACCGAGTTCAATAGAAGGAAACAAAGCCACATCAGCTATTGCCAAATTTAACTGGGTAATATAATTTTTTACGAGAGAATGATTGAGCGGATTCCTTGGAAAAATTTAAGGAATTTGCTTTGTATTATGCAGAAGATTCACTGTTTGCACGAAAATCCGCAAAACCGTTTTCATGTAAACAATTAAATTTCTCAATTAAATTTGACAATGGCGGATGTGACTTGGTTCCTTTCTGTTTAACGCCGTCCATTTTTACTTGTTAACGAGAGGCAGCTCAATTTGTCGCATGAGATTCAACCACCTCAGGAATTCAAAAATAATATCGGAGGCTGCTGAATATTTGTGATTTCTTAAAAAGTTTACGTAATAAAATATGTTTCCCTTTTTCTTTTTTGTGAAAAGTAAAGTAACGAAATTATTGGATTTACTCACGGTCAGTTCATACTTAGGAGCTTCGTCTATTAAATCGGGCACGATTCCGTGTTTCATAAATATTTTTTCTATCTGTTTTTCATTTCGACCAGTGTATACGTATTTTGGAGTAGTAGTAATATTGTCTGATGTTACGGTGTCATGTTCTGTTGGAGGAACATCGGTGGCTCCTGTTTCTGGTGCAAATATGCAAGTGTACGCAAGATGAACTAAAAGTTGAACTCTAAGACCATTTGTGGGCCATTTGTTTAAAATCAGTAAATAGTTGAACATTTTCATCCATCTAAACTTAGAGATTTATTTGGAGGGCCACCGCAAATATTCGCGCTGTACCTGAAAAAACGAAGAACAATCTTGAAAACCACTAATCGTAAACTTTAAATTTATAACTTCTAAAAACCAACAAAATCGCTTAAAAAATATGGACTTTGTATTTTTTGATGAAGTATTCCAGAGAATGATCCATGCTCGCGCCTAACCATACTCGTTGATGAAAAACTCATGAATTACTAGACATAGTGAATCCACGCTATTGAGATAAAGGAACATGTTCCAGGAAACAATGAAAAATAAACGAAAACATAAGAGATAAAAATTAATGAAGTACAGCCAAATGTGGCATCAAGGTTGATATAGACTCGTGAATGATAAGACACAGAACTTTTGTCAGTTCCTTTTGTCTTGGCGTCTTACTCGGTGTACTTAAACTTCAATCGTATGTATGTGAGTGCTGCCTCAGAACATCTCGTTTTTAAATTGACTCGCTGCTCTAGAGGGATGTTTTGGCAGCCACCCTATGTTGTTGGCATGAAATTTTTTGGCTTCATTACTTTGCTTTACATAGTTTGGATCAACATGACACGGGATTGAAAAAGTACAATGCATGCGTAACGTATGCGTATTTTTATGCAATGAGCATCGGTGATGGATGCATTAGAAAAGTTCTAAGAGGAACGAACTTGATTGCCTTAAATTATTTTACTTCTAAGCAAGTGAACTATCGATATTTACTTCAACGAATTTAGGAAAATAATAAATAATCACTTTTTTCAATATGACACAAGTTTACAAAGGGTAAATTTGAAGCACAGTTCCAAATAGTCCATTTAGCAAAATAATCAATACGAACTTCCTGGACTATAAATCTGCTCGAGTGTTATTGATGCATTAAATTTAAATGTGTACACATAAAGTACTACTTTCAAGAATATCCCTGGGCAAAGAGAGTTTAAAGATCTACAAGAAGACTACAAATCGAGCGTACGATCGTGAGCTATATGTATTTCAAGTGTAGTGATGAATTTCAGTTGCTGTGGTCCTCTCGTCGGCATCGTACTATCAATTTTATCAACAGCATGGCGGGTGATTTTTGTGGATACCGTACACGGATTTGACTGGAAACCGAGTCTAAAGCAATTTGATGGGTATGGTGAGAAAAATGAACCTAAAACAGAGATGGAGCGGGACAATTTGTTGGATAAATATGACATTGTACCTGACATTGTTAAAGGTTATCCAAAAAATGTCGTAAAGGTACGTAAAATGAATTTTTTTATCGTTCGAGATGTGAAATATCCTGGTGCGGTGGTGGCGATAAATTTTCTAGGAACTGACGAGTGAGTCTGCAGAAATAGACTCCACTACCCTTAATCCCTGAAAATTTGAAGGCTTGAAGCATGGATGCGTACTTCTCCTGACCCAATGCTCATTCAAGGTTGCAGAATCCTCAAATGGATTAAAAACCTCCAAAAAAAAAAAAAAAAAAAAAAAAAAAAAAAAAAAAAAAAAAAAAAAAAAAAAAAAAAAAAAAATGTAACATTAAATACACCATACATGTAGTACGCTAGGCTCACAGACTGTAAACCGCAAGACAAATAATCGATCAAAGTCAATTGATTATCAAAATTCCAACCTCAATTGATATCATCTTTTACGCTTATGAGATAAAATTGTAATTCATTGTAAATCATTTTTAAATCACAATGACATTTACAATTAGACCGATATATTATTAAATCCATAGTCATGAAATCGCCTCTAAAAAAGAACAAAAAGTGCAAGACCGTGATCTTTCCTGAAACTTTATTCACATCTCCTTGAATGTTCCGACCTTCATTTTTTCAGGCAAATACAATAAGATAAGAATTAAGTATAAAAATAATGATATAAAATAAACTTGCATGATATCTGCATGTACACGAATATTATACCATTTATCATTGTACACGCGCTTTTGTGGTTGAAAACATTGTATAGTTTTGCTTATATTTTGAACTTTCTGAAGATGTGATGAATTTTCCAATCTGTGCTCCGAATGAGGCTCTCGCCACGTTTTTTTCTTTGATATGATTGATGTTCCGCAGCCCATTACAAGATATACAATAATAAACCAAATTACATGGCGGGTATCAAGCCTAATTTTCAAGTAAATACCGCCGAAACCTTTCCGTTGAAAACTCAACCCTCCTCAGTTGGATAAAAAAGTGAAAATTAACCTTCAGACCAGCTAAGTAATTTGTTAAATTATTGTTATTTTTCTTAATTTCTCTGTATTTATATCTTTTTCAGCTAATTGTATCTTCTTTGGAATTTTTAGGTTGAGTATCATCACGAAAACGGCGTTTCGATGGTGAAATTCGGAAATTTTTTGCAAGTAAATGAGACTAGGCCAGATCCAAAAGTTACTTGGGACGCTGTGGACAGTGAGAGATACGTTTTACTAATGATAGGTGAGTATGGTCATGATGTGCCTGCCCATATCCCATATCAATTTCTAAATCTTTAATTGCGCTGACGGCATACTCAAGAATGTTTCTGCCTTAATCGAGTTACTCTTTTTTTTCTCTAATGAAAATGAAAAATTATGCTAAATCTTATTAAGTACGAATACTAGGACTTAGTCAACTACCGTTCTCTTTTTGTGCTCTAGTGCCTTGATTTATTTTGCGAGAAAAGCTCTGAACTCTTAAAGAATGCTAGTCACTCTTAGTTTGTTGGAGCGCCTTCAATTGCGTATGATACTGTGCAACACATCTGTTGTGAAATAGTTGCTTGAGGCGCCGCGCCGTGGCACGCTGCGGCGCGGCGGGCGGTCGACCAGCGCGGCATGCGCATTGGCGCCTACAAGCCGAACTGCAATACTTCAAGCATTGCCCAATGCTTGATGTATCCCCTTAGGTTTGTAGGCGCCAGTGCGGGTTTTGCGCCTGCATGCACGCCGCTCCGCCCTGTGTTGGGCTCTAATATTTAAACTCGAGGAGTCAGCGTTTTCCAACTCAGGATTATGAAATTTTTGCACAGTCTTCATGGATTGTTCTCATTTAAATTGATGAGAAAAATTTGTATTAAAGGAAAATATAATGTTTTTTGTAAATATTTAGGTTGTTCTGTGTCAAATTCAATGATTTTCAAAACACTTTATTTTTCTTCACTTTCATATTTTGTGCTCTTACTGTGCTCTAGCGTGATGCACGCGTATACAAACGCTTAAAATTAGACGTATTTGACTCCAAAAGATCGATGCACGAACGGGTTAAAACCAAAGATTGGAACTGGAAGATACTAAGCTGTCATATTTTTTGGCGCGAGCGCACATTTTACGAGGTATACTAATTACTTTGATTTGTGTCCTCTCTCTCTTTCAATAAAGATCCTGACGGTGAGCGGGAAGGAGATTACGATGGTCGGGATTGGCAGATATACTTGGTCACGAACATTGTCGGTAATAACGTGTCACGCGGCGAGATGGTTTCTGACTACATTCCACCATTTGCATCATACTGCAAACGTTTGTTGAATTTTTATTATTTTTTGAACACTCGATTTAATATTTACAATACAATATGCACCGGATTATCCAATATCTAATTGTTGGAACTTAGTTTCACTCTGCGCGGCCTTACAGAAAATCAACCTGAATATCCTTACACATGTGCCCAGTTTTCCCCACCTTCGTCTTTTTCCGGGCCTTTTGAAAACTTACCCAGCAAATCCTCTTCAATTTTCAAAAGACCAGTGAACATTTAAAATTTTTAAAAGCATGAATATTCTCGTTTTATTCAATCCATGAATCTCGACGATTTTTTAAGTGACCTGAGAACATCCGAACATTTAATTATCCGAGCCACTCAATCGTCACATCAGTGTGGATGTTCCATCGTATAATGTATCCTCGTAGGTTGCGCACAATTACCTAGTGCACTTAGGCTGAGTGATCCTCAAAAATTATTCACCAGAGGACGTTCCTTTTAAAGAAATGGCTTTCATTTCGCCGGAAACTTTCATACTTGAAAATTTTGTCGCAATACTCAATTATCGTATTTTGAAATTTCGAGAAAACGTCGTGGTTAAAAATCAATCGTGTTATGAGAGAACAAGAGCCTCCCAGAAAATGTGAAATTGACAATTTATCGTGTCCATCCACCTGCCAAACCAATCATACACTATACTTTTTTCTTTTTTCCCTTTTTGCAAGGTAGAATTTCATCGATACATATTCTTGGTTTATCAGCAACCAAATCACGGTAAAATCATAGAATACTTCGAGATTCGTTTAACTCTGATGTAAGTGATTTAATTCCTCCATTTCAAACTTCTTTTAGTCCCAAAGTTGGATTTGGTATTTAACCACTTTTTTCTCCTGCAATTCGATTGCACTTTAAAGTTCACTTTTTAAAGCTGGAATTCTGAGATTTTTAGCAATCTAGTGTGCTCCATGTTCCTAATGTTTTGGATGAATATATATCCCCTTACATACGATGTTCAAACTTGTAAAATTTAGTCCTATGAAGAATCTTTTTCACAATAAATAAGGGGAAAAAACTAAAATTGTGGCCGGAACCCTGTGAGGAACACCTGGGTCCACACAACTCTAGGGGGAAGTAGTTACTTCCCGAGGGACAGTGTGGATACATCACTATTCTACCGTCCTGTTATTATTTACGATACGAGTTCACACTTTTTTACGTATTTAATAGTGTGAACACTGGACTTTTCTACCGTCCTGTTATTACTTACAATACATGTTTACGTCTTTTTACTTATTGACAAAGCATTTGAATTAAAATAAAATACGTTTTTAGTGATGAAACAGCGATTTTAACCCAGAATTTTTTGGAGGCTTCCAAACTCACCGTGCAGATTTAATTTGTCGTATTATTTTTTTTTGTTATATTTTTAATTTTTTTATTTTTTATTTTTTTTGGTGTAGCAATATAAAGAAAACATTTCTATTCAAGTTTTACATAGTGTGTTCATGTGCCTCTATTTAATATTTTCAGACACGAAGAATATCGAAAAAAATTTCGGAGTCGCGTGTTTGCTGCAAGGTATGGACTTGGTGAGCCAATCGCAATCAACTTTTTTCTCGGAGAAATGAGAAATACTACCTCCTCGACAGAAGATTATTAGTTTTAAGGCCAAATTGTTGTGTTAGTCTGAAGAGAGGTAGATAACGGATCTATGGCATCGAACTTATCACTGTATGTCAGCTAATTTTATTTCTGACTTTGTATAAACTCTATTGTCATGATGTAAAAAACTGACAACATTTGCAAACTCTAAGCTTTAAGTGGAAATTATTCATCGTCGAATTTTTATTTTACATTTGTAATTTATTTCACAGTTAAGTTTCATCAGGAGTCATGATGTGTGATTAAAATATAAGAGCAATAAATGCTAGCCCAACTCTTCAAAACTAGTATTCATGATGCTCTTCTCCAAAATTGATTTTGACCCGTAAATTCTACATCCCTCCAATAATTTTATCGAAGCAGTCAAACAGTTTGAGGTTAAACATTTTATTATGTAGTCCGATCAGGGTCTAACCAAATAGTACGGTTAATATGACCCTTCTTTTTTCTCAATGTTCTTCTTAGTGACGTTCAATTACTTATCCGAAAGTTTCAATAGTAAACCCGCTTTTATTTTAGTTTCCTTAACCGTAACCGCTCCTCTTAACAGTCACCTGAGTAAAATTTTAAACGTCACGCGATTAAGGCTGTTTTGAGTTGCCAGGAAATGGACATCATTCTCTCGTAAATGATACTAGCTTTTCACAAAGCAAGTAAATTAACGAATACCTCGACATGGTATAACATCCTTCATTGCCACTGAATAAGTTAGTACGTCATCTCAGGGATTGCTTTCGAAAGCATTTCATTGGTACCCTAAGGGAGAGGCATGACGGTAAAGCGATTGTGATGTTATTGTAGTTAGGAAGACGAGGTTTAAGCCTAGAGATCTATATTCATCTATGTATACGTAAGAAAAAATACTAAAACTCTTCCCGGGACTGTATGTGACAAGGTTATAAAACAGTGCTAGGTCCAAACTATTTTGTGGGGAAAGAAAGTTCAAAAAATTCCAAAAATCCAGTTAGAGTTAAAAATTTGAGCTCTATTGAGCACCAATACAAGACCGAGAGATGAGAGTGTCCAGCTCAGGCAGATGCATTTTGATACTTGGGGTCACGCCGAGCGTTTTGAGTCTTTTTAGACCTCATCAGTAAAGCACACTCGTAGATAAGCCCAGCTTAGTACCTCGCAAAAGCCAAGATGTCATCAAAATGTCGTCATAAATATGACGCGAGGCAGATAAGATCTAAATATAAGATCTAAATGATTGAATAAGGAATTACTATAAGGGTCACCCAAAAAGTTACGTTTTTAATTCAGGTCATATCTTAAAAACAAAAAAATATAAAAAAGGTCATACCTGATTCTTTACATCTCGAGATTGCTTAAATTTTTGACAGATGGTCGAGAGTGACCGTGATTTTCGATTTGAACACGGAAACTTTCTCTGTTGATTTTGTCCAATACAAAATAATTTATCACAATCACTACCCGTAATTCAAGTTTTCCGTTCAACTTTGTGATACTTCCAAACCTTTCCAACGCATTTATTGACTCCTCTAAAAGTCTCAACGGTGAAACTCCAAAACTTCACATTTCAGCGATACTCGAAACTTTCAGATATTGGGCAGTATATTCCCCTTCTCGTAAATACGGTCCCGAAAAAGTCACAGCTTTCCGTCAAACAAAGTGAAGGAAAAAAACGCGATATTGATAAAAAACATATATGAATTATTAGCAGAGAGAGAAATGAATTAGTAACATAATGTGAGATGAGCAGCTGATAAAAGCGCGTTCATGCCGACTCCGTAAGGAATTCAATACGGTGGAGTGAGCACAAGGCTGCTTATTTTGTTTGCATGCAGAAATGTGTCTAGTTTTATATTTTCGGGAATCAACTTTAAGAAAACCAGTGGAGATCGTAACAGCATAATATTGTCATGGGAACGGAGTTCCCCATGATATTACAATCGTTACGTTGCTTTCGCTATGGGATTCCCTATACTTCTGCGACCTTGAGCGTTTCGCCCAGTCTCCGATTTTTGGTTGATTTTCCGATGTATCAAAAACCGTTGTATTTTTTAGCCTATCATGTCTCTACGTCAAGTTGTGTTGATTGCTAAAATTCGCTTTCAGCGAGTTTTTTTCCAACTTGAGATGTCGTGTCTGACTGGTAAATCTGCGCAGAACCACGAAGTTCCGTTTTTAGGCAAATTCTTTTTTTTGGGAGGTTCTGATTGGTTATTTTTCGCCATCAGTTTTCTGTTCGTTGGTGCAAAAGATCGCCTACCTCGGTGTTCTTGAGAAGCCGCCATTATCCCACCTCAAATTTGAAAAATAGAAGTAAAGAAATAATAACCATCGTACAAGGTGGAAAATTGTTCTGGAGGACTCGTTACGGATAAAGAAGTCAAAATCAAAGCTCGATTGATTGATTTAATTCATGGATACGCAAATATTGCCTTAGCTCAACTGCCGCGGTCGGAATGCGTGCTGGCATGAACCTCGAGACGCATTAAAACAGTGCGAACCATGGCTCCTACAGCAAAACAGCAATGCGCTTCATATCATCCCAAAAGCAGTCAAGGTCTCTTGTGATAAGTCCCGCCCATTGCCCGAGTCTTTTGTATGCTATTTTTACGCTCGCTCACGCGGATCCGTTATAGCCTAGTTGACTTAACCGCCTCGTATTTTTGACTAGGTGCGGGCACCCGGCGATCGGGAGTTCGATACCCGACGATGGGAACTACTTTTTAATGGTTGTATTGAATGTTTTAGACTAATCATCAAAAAATAATTAATAGTAGATGATAAATGTACGAACATTTTCTCGTGAGTTAATATGTTAAACAAAAATACTGGAATATACCTTCTTCATATAATCAGCCACATGTTCCCCCAAATTAATGACGTTATTTTCTTTTTTCAATAAAGTTAATTTGCATTCAACGTTCGTAAGTTAAGCAAAAAGTACCTATTGATACAAATAGAAAGACATGAAAATACTATGTCTAACATTTCAGTTGTTTTTTTTTTTTATTATTTATTTTTTGTTTTTTTGTTTTTTCAATAAAACAAATTGACTGGGACTAGAATCATCGTATCTCTGAAGACAAAAGCTAAGTTTTTTGATACAGAAATACTAATATATTCATCCTTTATATAATCAGGGAGATGTTGACCCAAATATTGATGTATATTTTCTCTGTTCGCCCAAATTAATGATGGTATTTTCTTTTTTCAATAAAATTAATTTACATTCCACGTTCTTAAAGCAATATTTTCTCCAAAATTCAGCAAAAAATAACAATTTATACCTACGCAAAAAGTAAATAAATAAATAAAGCAATGACATGAAAGTAGTATAGGTAGTACACATCTAACATTTCGGTTACATCTATTTGAATGAAAAAAATGGCAACTTAGGAAGCACATAGGTCACTTATCGACGGTGAAACTACCAAACCACGTATCTCGGTTTGCGACGTCGCAGACTTCCTGTCATACTTTATTTTTTAAATGAAAAGCTACTTAACGTCCAGTCTTGAAAATTTCCGTGATTTTTCCTCTTCGTGCGGAGAAAATTGTGTGAAAATTTCAAGGAATGATATTGATTTGGTCTACTTCAAAAAAATAAAATGTGAGCGGAGATTTTTAAACACCGCAAACGAGATACGTGGTTTGGTAGTTTCACCGTCGTTATGATGCGTATTCGGGCATATGCGTAGAGTAAAAATATCATACTTTACGCCGAAAAAACGAAACTGAAAGTTAAATGCGTTAACTTCCAAAAACCATACATAATCCAACGAAAATAAATAATTGGTAAATAACAGCTTTCTTGTATGCAAAGAAAAAAAATTAAAAATGTTAAAAAAGAGATGTCGACACAAAATTACATAGCCCCTTCAATTCTGAAGATACTACAAACGAACTGTACCTTAAAATTTTCATATCCCAGAAGCAAAAGTTCCCATGACGAATATTGCTATCGCTAGCGATTGCAAAAACCAACTTGTTTTCTATTCTTAAGGTAATTTGACTTTAAAAGTTATCTATAGTATTCGGACCACATTTTTAGTGTAATTTATTCTCTGAAACAATATTATGAAAAAGCGGAGCCATGTTTTTCCAGGGAGAGCCAGGGGGTACAACTTCCCCCTTTCCCCAAGCGCCTCGCGCCTTAATCCGTCGTCTGACGCACGAAAGAACGTAACTCCATCCCAAGGTTGCCAAATCGACTCAACAATTGATTCATTTTACAAAAATGTACGTAAGCAATTTGTATCCGAAATATATCTGTTTTTTGCTTGGAATCTAGAGAAAAATCAGGGAAATTTTCAGCTAGAAATGCCCAAGATTTTCTTGATTAATAGGCAATTTGCGAGGGGAAATTCGGCAACATTGAAATGGAGTTACGTATTTTCGCCCGCGAGACAACGAATCGTAATGCTTTATACGTTACTCTTGATGTTATATTATAGAGTAAGATATGCACTCGGAAACTTTTAAAAATTGCCTTATTTTGTAAGGTGATGCCAGTGGCAATATATTTTTGGATAATGCATTATTGCATCATTCTCGGGCCCTATCCAGACATTCATTGTATCACACGATTCGTACATTTTTCCAAATTTCACTGTTTACTCACTGGGCAGTTTTTACAGTATTTCTCAAAGAAATAACCGTCACCAAAACCACCACTTCTGAGGAGCGAGAAACTACAACCCAAAGAACATTTTTAAAAGCACTGATTCATTCAATCCTTTAAAAGTATCCTTTCAATAGTTGAGTGAATGGTTCGTTGAGAGCATGATGACGGCGATGCTCCTGAATCGTGTATCTTTTTTCCGGTGCTAAACAACTCCCGCTCTTATTTAATTTCTTGAAAGGAGAGCAAAAATTGGACGTATTTTTACCAAACAGACCTATGTGTAAGTGAGAAATATGGGGTATGCTCGTTAGTTCTCTGGCCGTAAGAGTGAATGGGAATAATTGTGCGCCAGTGACGTCAGCGGCAATGAGAGTGCGCACTCTAGCGAGGGGGAGATCGTCGTCGGGGCGCTGTAACTCGTGAGCCCTGTCCACAACGCTATCTTGCCATGCCCGCGGCTCATGAGTTCCGCATTCAGTTGGCACATAGGTCTCTTTGATAGAATGCAATATCCCGCTTTTCCAATTCTTCAAAAGGAACCACGCCCACTTTTACATTGTTTCTTATGCAGATTTCTAGAGCACACCCCATATTTCTCACCTCCACATAGGTCTGTTTGGTAGAAATACGTCCAATTGTATCCATTCTTCGAAGTTTTTTCAAAATGAGGTAAAAATCATGAAAGTTTTTCAGATCTGAGGTTGAGTAGTTCTCCATTTAAAAAATAAAGTATGATGGACAGTCCGAAACTTTGCAAACGAAGATACGTAGCATAGAAGTTGCACCATCGATAAGTTTCATATGGACGTATTTATGCTAAAAGGAACTATGAGCATAGGGCTTGCGTGAGACATAGTTCCTTTCGGCATAAATACATCCGTATGTATGTTGCAAAGCTTCGAACTTTCACGTTAAAAGTATATGGGAGTATTGAGATGTCAATACTTATTTTTTGTGTGAAAGTTTAAATGACAGTTCCATAAAGAAACGTGGCGTCGATGCGTTCTGTGAATAAATTCCAATGGACCACTAGACAAGGTACGAATTTCAGGATTCTGATTTATGTTTCCTAACCAACTATTTAATAACTCTTGGTGCGTGAATTGAAACCACCCGCTCATGAAAACTCAATGCTCTACGTGATTCACATCGCGCGCTAAACGTTATAATGACAGTCTCTGCGATAAAAAAATCTGGCAACCTCGATCTTGACGTTTTGGCTCAGCTATAGCAAATTGCTTATAGTTTGGACAACACATGGTGGAAAATGAACATTGCTCGATTGAGAAGCTTGCTGAAGCCGTTGTAGTGCGCGATTTGACTCACGTAGAGCTTTGAGTTTCTCGTGAGCGGGCAGTTCAAATTCCTCGTAACCATTGTGAAATAAAAACGTTAATATCTTCGTTAGAAGTTGGTTTTAGTAATTTTCGTTGCGCGAATCGTGTTCTACGTGAAATTCTGGTTAAGGAACATGTATCAGATTGCTTAAATTCGTACCTTGCCTAGTGGTCCATTAATGGTAGGTATTCTCAAAATTGTGGCACCGTTATACATATAGCGGTGATTCCTATAAGTTGGCAACACTGGAATTTATCGGATTGAATCTTTTGAAAATATTGATTCCAGTTCGTTCCATAATTTCAGCTACTTGTCATTTTTTTCGAATTTTGAGATCGCACTTCTGTTGTTGTGTGACTAAAGAATTCATAAACCAAATTTGACAAAGACTTATTATTAAAGGCAAGGTTTTTTCAGGGGAAAAATATCGCATTTGAGTGCAGTTTCGATATCAGTTTTAAATGCGATGGTGTTCCTCTACAAACTCCCTGCCTTTATTACGTAGAATTTCTTTGTCAAATTTGGTGCATGAATTTTTTAGTCCCATGGCAACAGAAGTGCGTTCTCAAAATGCCAAAAAAATGACAAGTAGCTGAAAATACGGTACGAATTTATGCGATACATCGCTCGTCGCTCTGACACAAAAAATGCCAGCCGTCGAATCACCTTACCTAACAAGTTTTCATGTTGGCAGGAAACAAGGGGTAAAAAAGCGTGGAAAAGGAAAAAGCTTCCATTATGAGACCACTCAATTGATTCGTAAAATTTCAGTCACGGACATGCCTCTGAACCGCACCAGCCACAGCATTTGTGGTGGTCTTTTCTTCCTGTGCGTAGTCCCCATATTCACACACTTAAGTTTAGCGAATGGAAAGAGCGTTCGTGGCGAGGGCCACGACGATGAATTTAAACATAATCGACCTTTGCCAAGAGGAGAAACACTTATCTGGGCTTATTTGAAGATGCACCAAATTTTCCCGAAAGTTGTGCCTGTGCCAGCGAAGGATGCTATTGAGGTAAGATCGGCGACGGATATCAGGCTTACAAATAGATCGTATTCAATCAAAGACATAAAGACGGAGTGCTCGTATCTAAAAGCACGGAGAAAAATTGAAGCCTGGTTTGGCGTTGAGTGCTTGTGTGAGTGTGTAAATGAGCGCGGGAATTCATGGCAGCAAACGGAAATTTGATTTGAACTTGTCCTCTAGTTTTTTCCACATTTCTTCTTCTAAACGTGTTTTAAATGCCCACCACGAATATATTAAGAACATTGAATTGTTATAATAAAAGTACTTTTGCACGGTAACAGGCAGTGTAAAGTTGGTTTTTCTTCTGCTCATGGTGGTCCTGCTAGTTTAAACATGTTGTTACAGTCCTGGATGACCGTTACTCCCAAATGAAATTAATCGGTCGATGACGGACCAAAAATAACCTAAAGCTTACAAAATATAAGTGGGTAAGTGAATTTGGGTAAAAATCAACCTAGAATACTTTGTTTCCGCAATTTAATTCAGTTCCCGCCCTAAATTTGAATTTCAAACTTGTGCCGATTTTGCCGCCAATCCTCTAGCCAATAGTAGAGGTGGTTTAAAAGAGGCCTCATTTTTTGCTTTCAGCGCTCCTTCTTTATGTCTTTGTATTCAATACATCAAACAGGTGAGATTGTATCGATATCGATTGGTTCAAAGTGTAAGCATAGCCTCAGAAAGCAATTTAGAAATCTGAGGGAACGGGTCTTTTGTGATACATTTTTTGCTCCTTTGAGCACCAAATGACAATGACAAATGAAATTGTGAGGAGTTTTCTGATTTTCAGCTTTTCAAACTTAAATCCTAAAATTTTTGTTTGAGGTTATGTATTCTATTGTTTTAAACCAAACGATACGTCGAATCACTTACAAATATAATCCATAAATACGAGGGTTCTGATCATATAAAAACTCTACCATTATCTGTTACATTCCGAAAGGGGATCGGGGGCGTCGGGCCGTGAAAGGTTCCTTTAGGATCGATTTTCAATTATTTCCACTCCGGAGTCTTTTTAACTTCTTTCGCCTAAAATAACCAAGAACAAATCGTGTACGGGTGGTCTGAGACATCATCTATATAGATAAAAAAACTCATATCCCTCACTAAATCTGATCAATATCTTGTTAGTAAGAACATAACTTAAAACATTATAATTGTCAAATAGCTTCAGCGAGCGATGATGTCAACATTCGTCGGTGAGGTCATGATAGATAAGATAATTTATGCATAGTAATTAATATATGTAGTTATAAGAATAGAGTAATTTGGACAGGTTACTTTTTTCACCTACTATATCTATACAATTTTTTGGGTGCATAGAAACTGATTAAATATTCAAGGTTTTTTCTTAATTTCTTTTTTTTTTAATATGAAAGAAGTTGCCCCTGTCATTCTCAGATTGTTGGAGCGCCTTCAATTGCGTATGATACTATGCAACACATCTGTTGTGAAATAGTTGCTTGAGGCGCCGTGGCACGCTGCGGAGCGGCGGGCGGTCGACCAGCGCGGCATGCGCATTGGCGCCTACACCTAACTGGGATACTTCAAGCATTGCGCAATGCGTGAAGTATCCCCTTTAGTTTTTTAGGCGCCAGTGCAGGTTTTGCGCCGCCATGCACGCCGCTCCGCTCTGTGTTAGGCTCTAATATTTAAAATCGAGGAGTCAGCGTTTTTCAACTCATGATTATAAAATGTTTGCACAGTCTGCATGGATTATTCTCATTTAAATTGATGAGAAAAATTTATATTAAAGGAAAATATAATGTTTTTTTTTGTAAATATTAAGGTTGTCACCTGTCAAATCTAATGATTTTCAAAGCACTTCAATTTTTCTTCACTTTCATATTTTGTGCTCTTACTGTGCTCTTAGTGTGCTCCAGCGTGGTGCACGCGCAACTAAACTACTAAATCGTTACAATTTTTTGGGTGCACAGAAACTGATTAAATATTCAAGGTTTTTCCTTAGTTTCTTTTTTTTAAGATGGAAGAAGTTGCCCAACCCTAGCTAGTCTTTGCTGAATGCAGCTAGTTTACAAAGTCAGCATTCATTTTAACGCTTGACAAACCACCAGTAGCTATACGAACGAGGTATATGACTCTTGAAAATAGCTTCGACCAAGCAGAACGCATGCAGCTTGATGGTCATGTCCATTGCTTTATCCCAACTAAATTCATATAATTGGGGAATGATCGGAACAATTTATAAATTGATATTAAAATTAAATTTTGCAGGTAAGTTACAAAGAAGACGCAATTGTAGATTTTGGACTTGAATTAACTGAAGATCAAGTTGAGAATCAGCCAATCAATACAACTTGGCCCGTGGAAAAGGGAGCCCATTACACATTAATTCTTTTTAGTAAGTTTTGCATTGCTTTATTACTAGGCGTCTTATTACTATTAGTTTTGCGTTATTTTCATGGTGTTTTCATTTCCTTCCACTTTTTAACGTTACCGCTCCATACTGAGAGCTGCATTAAGGGTGTGGTCTTCCTTTAAAAAAAACGAAAGAAAAAAAAATCCCCAACATTAAAACAACCTGTGGTTTTACTGAATAGATTGGAGTTAAAACCGAATGAGACGAAGTGAAATATTGCCACTGAAAATAAACAACAGGGTGACTGTTTTTATCCATAACCTTTCTTTGTTGAGCATAAGTTCGTCAAAGTCCCCGAGAGGACAGAAAGAAACAATTTGAAAATCCATGAGGAATTCCTAAGAATGAGGATCGTTACGTAACTACTAAGTTGAAAAATTTGAATTAATACCATGCGCTCTAATTGCGTTTTCTAGCTCCCGACTCACCATCGAGACTTAACCAGACTGAAGGCCAGTTTGATTTCTGGTTCGTTGCTAATATCAATGAGTCTTGCAAAGCAAAATCCGGGAACACCTACACAGAGTATTTAGGACCAAAAGCGTGGACCATGAACCCGGGTAAGTTCATAACATTAATATTTATAAATTCCGAGTACATTCGTAAATTACTAAGTAAGTATTCATGTGAAAAGACTATCGATGTTGCTCAAATAATTTTCTCCACTTTACGGTTTCCTTTATTTTTAAACGATGTACTTTATGATTTAATCAGGTACTTTTTTAACACATGTCTCCTAATTTTTAATTAACTTTTTCAAATTTTTTTCGAGGAAGCTTATGATTATTTGCATATTAACATAGGGCAACACGTGGAAACACGAAGTCTGAATCCATCTTGGGATCATACACCATGCACGAATGGACGCACGATCCTGAATTGAAGAAATCTGAATCATCACTTCAACTGAAAAAAGGGCAGATTTTGTTGTCTATTTAGACTTCAGTGTTCCTGTGCAGATCTTTTAGGAATTTCCGACCAAAACATCGAAAAGTACCTCCCACTAAACCTATTCACAGACACTCTAGTACCTCGATACAAATATAAATCCGCAGAAGTTCTTTCCCTTGGTTATTTCCTCGAAACGCCCACCGTGGACTTGAAGGGAAAATCTATTCATTCTCAATTTTTTGGTGGTTCTTGGGAAGGTTTTTCGAGTGAAATCCAGGGCTTAGTGCGGTGAGCTGATAAATTGTAAGTCGGCTGATTTTTTTGAGTTCAGCGTGTGTAGGTAGCCTTTCTTGCAATTTGTTTCGGATAAGACACTTTTTTCCGGACTATTTGTCGTGATAACGTTGAAAAGATTTTTTAAGACTACTCTTAATGGTAATTTTTTTCCTCAGAACTACTGGGTGAGCTGCGGCGTTACATCTTCATTGTATTCAAACAACCGGTAAAACCTCTTCTTTACAGGATGGGAATAACTTATAAAGAGTGAGTACTTCTTTTAAAGTTAAACATTCCGAAAATATTGAGAACGAGAGGTCTCTCTCCCCCCCCCCCCCCCCCCTCCCCCTCTCTCTCTCTCTTGGCAGCTACGTGGTCCAACCCCCAGATGCTCTCGTTCGTGGTAGTCAATAATCTGGAGCATGATTTGGAACTTGAAAGATGGCAGGCTCATCAGTAGATTGCTATTTACTGAAAGCCTAGCAGCCAAGAAATCATAGAAATTAGCCCTGTAGATCCACAGGTATAATTAGTGGGGTGAAAATTAGAAGAAAATTGGGGGAGTCAGCAAGTTTACAGTGACGGCGATGATTACTACAGACAAAAAAGTTGACCGTGCATCTGTGTCAGTGATATTTTTCGTAAACAAGAAATTAAGATATCCAAGGAAAAATACTCATTTTAAGAGCAATGGTCAATTTTGAAGCGATGGTGTAATATATTTTTCAACTGATGATGATTGATGAGCAACTCGTTGAGCAGAAAATCAAATAAAATTCGCCTAATGATGACTGATTAATTTTGGGGTAAGTACTTTGCCGGGCAAATTTGGAATTTAATTAGGTTAGACTTGCTGAGGCAATAACTCAACTTTTTAGTCATCAATTATCATGAGGCAAATCTGAATGTCCAAAGGTAACTTTTCTACTGTAAGGAAATGACAGTGCAACAGCAGCCTCTGTAGAATATATCGCCTCGGATTACATAATTATGTGCTTGTTTTTCAGATATTATGACAGCCGGCAACGATTCAACGTGACGGAATTTGCGGATGAATACAAATTAGGACGACCAGTTGCAATAAATATGTTTCAAATGTCTACGGTGAAGCAAAAGCGAAACTGGACAGTTATGCCCGACTGGCACAAAAATCCTATGAAATACATCACGATGATTGATGAGCCCCCAACAGAGTATCCTCATCAAGATTATGAATAAGAAACATTCATCTTTACTGTTCAAGATTTATTTCATAAAAAAGTACATATTTTGACGATAATTTTAAATAACTAAATACGTCGCGAGACAAAGAAAAAGAAAAGAAAGATAAGTTAGTAAACCAGCCATAATTTGTTTTGGGTAGGTTTTATGACTTGAACTTTAGCTCAGTGCGTCGTTAGGAGTTGGTTGGAACTCCCTCAAAAGGAGAAATTGAACACAATAAAACTGGCGGCCAGAAAGTGGACAGTTCGGTTTGCTGTAACCCCCCCCCCCCCAACACAACGTCCGTCAGCATAAAAACGGAAATGGTTTTCTGTTAAATAATTTTATATGGATTCATAGCTAAATTAAAAAAAAATGCGTATCTTTATTGCAAAGTTTTAAAATCTTTGATTATTTTTTCAAAGGGGAGGTGACAAACACCAAATATTTTCTTGGAATTCTCTGAGGACGTATCATAATGAAAGAGGATTCACAGAAACTATTATGGAAAAACTGCTGGTTGGTTTATTTTTAAAACAAGAAAAACGAGGGAAAATGTGCATATCAGCGGGACTGGAGTTACGTATTTTTCGACTTTAGCCACCAATTTGTTTTTACACGGGTTGAAATCTGTCAAAGTAATAATAACGGGTTTTTCTTTTTTTTCTAAATAAAGCCTTACAATCCCCCGGTACTCCTCTTTTTTTTCTTCTTTTTTATAGAAATAATGATTGATTCCCTACTTGTTTTCGTTGTCTTCTCCGTTTAAGTATGGGATTTTAAAAAATGGAGGGAGCCAACCATCAAATTCTCTAAACTAAATGAAGCAAAATCTAGTACTCGGAGTGCAAACCGTTATTTATTCATTAAAAAGTGTATTATAATCATAAGAAAGTAACACATTTTTAGGAAACGGAATATGATAAATATTTAAATTCAAACAATAGGAACCCTATGGACAAACCTCTTAGTAACAATCCTATGAAATATGATTTATTCATTGTGTAATAAGTCTACTAAATAAATTTTTGATCCTCATTATCTTTTGACCCTTTATGATGGATAATATACCTTATTAGTTGCCACGTCGTGTTCTTTGCAGTAAGAACAGAAGCACCATTGTGTCTCGTATTAAAGGTCGGGTACAATTGACTAGACGTCTGGAGTAGATCTTAATACATACCTAGATACAACTAGTGACGCTCCGTGGTAAGGCGTGTTGCATAAACACAAAACTGAAGGCGTTTTGACTTTTTTAGTGTACAGTGTAGTGCGTGCAAGTAATTATCTGAGAAAAGGTGCAAATGTTCAGGATGTCTCTGGATTAATATTAGCTATATTTCACAAATCCAAAATTCTAGGGGGTAAGGAGATACCTTTTANGGGGGGGGGGGGGGGGGGAATTAAGAAAGCGTATAAAGCTAAGTGGTTTGCATGTGTTTCTTGACATCGTCACCTTCTTGCCTAAGTATCACATGCGCCATGCGACGTTTAAACATTTCCGGCACCATTTTATTTTTTTTATAGAGAAATTATTGTTCAAAGAAGATGTCCGAAAATTTAACTGAACTTCTTGTGCTGTCAATAAAATTTGTTAAAATTTTCAAACAGATTCAACCAACAATTTCTCTGTAAAAATATAAAATGGCGACGGAAATGTTGAAACGTCGCGTGGCGCTTGTTATACTTTTGCCAGAAGGTGCCGAGATGCTGATGCTTTAATTTGATCCCAGTTGGTCGTCTGGTGGTTCATATCTGCATAATCGTACTGTGTAAATGCTCCTAATCTTACTGACGAAAGGCCAGTCTTATCAATAATCTTTCAGGAGTTGGTGCTCACGTTCTACCCCATCCGAAATCAGGTTTCAGTATTACCTTATCATAAGCTGAGACCCCAGGACCGTCATCGTCAGGTGGTATGTGCTGTGAGGTGAAGTAATTTGTTACTTACGCATCGCCTAAGTTGTACTTTTGCGCGAATTTCTGGTTTTATAAATTTAGGCGATGTTTGTCCTCACTACAAGGGGGAGAAAGGAATGAATGGATGAGAAAAGAGAAAATAAATAGAAAGTTCGATTCGATTCCATGAAGAGTGTTCGGAATGATGCAAATAACGCTTGTACATGTTTTCTTATCAAAATTTCGTGCGGAACGCGATGAACACATTGTAAATTTTAGTTTTAATTGTATAACTGAGGGATTATCCTTTATTTTATTTTGTATATTAAATTCCCCGTATATACGTCAAAATCTAAAGTTTATGCAGCCACACATTGGATCACCTTGCGGTGTAATTGTTTTATTAAGAGAGACTTTAATAAATTTGGTTCATTTACTGTGTCAGCATTTGGTTGATATGCCGCATTAGGATAAGAAGGCTGATTGTGAGTCGAGAATTGATTGATTAAGTGTAGATTTGAATTGACAAGGTAAAGATAAGCATTTTATGTTCCAAGATTTCTTGTTTTTTTAAGCTACCATATTTCCTCCATTACCACTGAACTCCTCTACTTCTTATTTTTGTATTTTTTCTTTACTTTCTTGAAAATAATCATATACATACACATATGCACTTACTATTCATGAATTATTGGTTCCCGCCACTCTGGTGTTATATCTGGCTGCTCGTACACGGTGAAAACGTACCGATAAATACCTGCAGAAGATATAGAAGAATAAATAAAATACCAAACAATTAAAAATCGGCTCATCAGAACCACGAAAAATGGTGAAATTGACGCCCCACCCCTACCCCCAAAGTGAATAGCTGCATTCCTAGCATTCACTGAAGAAATTTAGAAGGCGCATTAAATCATTGTACCTACACTGGAAAAACGTCTCTTGAATCCAAAGTCCAGACTCTTAAAAAAATTGACAAGAAAACATATTCTTGATTTAATTGGATTTTTGCCAGAGTCGAGAGCCAAGCCTCTCAATTTAAGCGGATTTCCTTTGGATTCAAGCAAAAACCCGATTAAATCAAAAGTAGTTTTCCTTGTCCAAATTTTCAAGAAACTGGACTCTGGATCCAAGAGCATTTTATTCAGTGTTGTATCTCCACTTGCTTATTGTATGAATGAGGGAATATTTAATGATACATTTTTTCCATTTAATTTTTTACAAATTCAAAAGAGTTGGCCCTCATAGAGGGTGTCTGGCACTTAGAGCGCATTACTCTGAGGCTTACTTTTTTGTGTCAAAATAAGACTTGTTTACTCTCTGGAAGTTTCTCTGAATACCTCCGTTTTTTCGTGCTGAATCCGTTAAAGTTACGGATTTCTTTCCCGAAATTCGTCTACAAGTCATTTTCAAGGTCGTATTTTTCAGAGAAACATATCCTAGGGAGGTAATTTTTTAGCAATCATTTCATTTCGGCGATTTGAAAGCTCCACACTTCCATTCAAAGATAGTAGGCGAAATCTCTACATTTTATAGCAGATATATCTTTTTCCCGTTCTTTTAAACCGTCCGTTTTTTCGTAACTATATGTGCATTAAATATGAGAAAATTAAAATTTCCCTAAAAAGGCAGAAATACTCTTGCATTGTAGATAAGGAAAATAATGTCGTACCGGTATCGGGTGGCATTTGTAAGGGCACGTATTCACAAAGTGTTCTGCCTTTGAGGACTGCCAAATCACAGCCCGCTATGTCAACTACAAGCCATTGTAAAAACTCTCGATTCATGGGATTTCCAGCTGATGGATCATCAGCCCCTGAGGAACGAATATTAACAGGACTTCAAGGTTTAGGTTAGCCGGCCAGGTTGGCCTAGTGGTCAGCGCGTCTGACTCTAGGCCAATAGGTCCCGGGTTCGAATCCCGGTGGTGGCGACAAATTTTCATGGAACTGACGAGTGGATCTGCAGAAACAGATTCCACTCGGCCTTAATCCCTGAAAATTTGAAAGCCTGGAGCATGGATGTGCCTAAATCCCATGATGTCTAAGGACAATAAATACTGTCTATCGATGGCTGTAGGTTCCAACGGAATATAAGCCACTAAACCAGCAAAAAAAAAAAAAAAAAAAAAAAAAAAAGGTTTAGGTTAGAAAGGTTTAGAACTTAAGGTTAGGTAAGCATTAACATGTTTTTGGGCGGAAAGGAGAAATGTCGTTAACAAACAATTAAAGTTTACATGGATATTTAGTTGATTTGCTTGTCATGCGGTGAAAAATCCAGATCGACCTCTAGATGAAGTTAATCGGATTCTGAGTAGCATTTAAACTACAATTTTGTAAATAATATGCAAGAGGATGATAATTGCCACCAGGGTTTTGATTCCTTTCACCTTAAAGACGACCTGGACCTCAAATCAAGCAGTTAATCAAGCTTTCTTTCATTTGGTTGTATCATTGTAGTGTCAGCACGAAATAGAATAATCCGTGATTCAACTCTAAAATTTGCGTTTCCCTTCAAATATGTGACTCAAAAGGCTACCTGAAATTGTTTAAACCTAGGCCTTAATTCGAATTTCCTGAGATGAGAGAGCGTAATTGCGTAAATCGCTCCATACACCCTATGTCTTCTTTATCTATCACTTCGTCTATCAATTTCAACAATCAGCCCGCAGATCTTCGGAGCTAAAATGTACAGGGATAAACTCACCGGTCAATATTAATGTATAGTTGCGACCCCTAATTATTGGCCAAGCGACGCGCATTGGTGCTTTCTTCACTTCATCGGGCTCCAGGTCATTCCCAAAGTTCGCCCTGATGCCAGGACCGTACGAGACCTACGCGAAAAGTTAGCATTTAATCAGAGGTGGATAGAAAACGGAATTTGAGACAGCAATTTCTGAGAGCTCTTATTCTTCAAGGATGTCCGTATTTACATACATAAAAGCTGCTTTCATAGTGCTCTTTGGCGCTCTGCGACTCAGAGCCGCCAAAGTCCCCGATCCCTCTAAAACCCCTCAGGGAGTTGGCACTCCCCCATTTCCTTTAGAACCCCCTGTCGCCAACCTTTCACTGGGCGTCCCCTATTTGCCATGTCAATATTTGCCTTTGCACATAATAAATCAGTACTCTTAAAAAGGCGGAGGTCCGTTTTTATTTTATTTTCTTTTGGTGCATTTTTGAACTCTTCAGTTGTCCTTATCATATTACCTGAGAAAGAAGTGGTACTTCGCTTTTTGGAACGCGAGTGACAGATGCACAGAAACGCAAACGTCACGTGAAAAGAACGTCAAAAATGCAATAAAAAGTTTGAAAAACTTCCCACTCTTTTTAATAATACTGTCTCAAATAGGATGTAAGGCAAATTGAAAAGACAGCGAGTTATTTAATTTTTTCTTTGAAAAGTCTCTGTAAAAATAAAATGTTCTCCTCAGGAGTATGGGAAAAATTGCTCCCATGAACCTATTTTCCTCTGGTTCACCCTAGTGCCTCCCGATTCCTTGAGCAAGAGAAAAATAAATTCTTTGTGCCGCGCTGAAAAGTAGCCTGATATTTTCTAAATTATCGATTTTGGAAACTGTGTAAAAAATCAACAAAATTCGAAATTTAGAATCATCAGGAACCCAGCGCAATTCCCCAAAAAGTTAAAACATGAGGAACGAACCGCTCGTTTCATCGTTTGTGTAGAGATTGGTGTGTTGTGTACAGATTCAACGACCGGTGAAATCCAATACAGTGTGATGATAAGATGGTTAATTGATTCATGTAGAAAGTTGATTTAATTGAATTTACATAAATGGAGATAAGGAAATAAATGAATTAATTGTCATATAGTTAGAAACAAAAACCATTTTTCTAAAAAATTCATTTCCGCATATACCGTGCACCTTACTTTCGAAGCAAATATCGTGATGCTCGAAACAAATCAGCTTAAAATATTTTAGTGAACATTATGACCAGGTGTGATTTTTACAATGCTACAACGATAACTTTTGCCTGCTTAAATGGCTGTTCAAATAATCGATTGTTTCACATACATTTTAATGGAAGGAAAATGTAGCGATGCCAGCTATCACAAAAATTGCCCTTTGATTATGGTTTACTTACATTAATAGGGTAAGTGGGGCTGCGAGGTAATACGTCGGGTATAACATCATCGTCTTTCAGTCGCCATTCGATTTCCTCCGGAGGCATACTAAAAGGGGCGATCGGCATCGCATGTTCAACACCACCCACTGATTTTATTTTTTCCTCGAGCACTTTTCTTGCAACCACCATAAATTTCGTTATGTAACATAATTGTAAAATTATTGTAATAGGCTCCATAAATATTTTTTTGTATACTAATTGAATACTTTAACTAAACATTAGTTAGTGATTACAACAAATAAACTCTGGATTAATATTTGTTTCAACACTTAGTAATCATAATTAATGACGGTGTGCAGCTGGGTAAATTTTTTTATAAGTCTTACTAAAGACACATTGTAGACACTTTAAATACACCTCGAGGCAAATTCGGCATGCCTAGAATTCACATGTTATAATGGGAAGGTCTTTGGAAGAAAGAGGAATAGGAAGAAAAAAACCTTGTGATGTTTTCAAAGAACAGATTTACATTATCTCATCTGCATCTATCAAGTTATGATGAACCGACATAGTGGCCACATTATCCGATCTATTCCGTATATTCGATGCACACGAACAGTAAGTGACTGGAAGTTATGTGATCATTTTTTTCTCAAGCGTGCAGCGTTACAACATTAGTGTTGGTTGGTATTATTTGTTGTTTTCATGGTGTGTTGAGAGTTTTACACGGTTATGTGAATTTGTTAAGACCGTATTCTGTTCATTCATATCCAATGACTTCGTGACCCTGAAAACTTGTGTTTATAAAATCTTGCACACTTTATCTTTACGTTCCTGGGTGCTCTAAAGTAAAATCCCGTCAACGACACACAAAATACTCTTATGGCTCCATAAAATGCTGAGACATGTAGATTTGATAGGAAATTTAATTAAATTAACTTCTGTGATCGGCGACTGTGGTAACACTGAACGATAACTGTACCTACATAACCACGGAAATGAAAGCGCACCACTTGTGACTCACATTCATATCCTCAGATGCGTTTCTAAGAATAACTTGGACAATTAGTTAACATTTGACCACCATGTCTTAGAAATCTAGTGAATTTACTTTGTATCCGTGCAACGTGCACAGTGCAGGTTATAGTCGACCATGTTTGAGTGGTTTCTTAACAGTGAGGCGTATTCAGATGAATAGATTAATCTGATAAACTCTTTATCACCTTTGACGATGCTTTACTTGATATACGCATGACAATTTTGTTTCGGTACAAATTCAAATTTAAATTTGATTATAGGTCCGTCTAGTCACCCACGCACGAACTGAAGCTCACAAGTGTACTTAGGTGAGGTAGTTGACTGTTACCTCATAAAATTTACCGGGTCGATGGAGTTTGTGGTTGACGAGAGCCTATCTCTGTTTTGTGCGTGGACGTTGCCCATAAGTTAATGAACGACAAACTTTTAATTAAGCAAAATGAGGTAGGGTAGGAAAAGTCGTCGTCATTTCGCAAGGCACATCCCTCCTAAAGAATTTAGCTGTAGATGGTGAGAGACTAATTTTTTTCGTCTATGGGAGGTAAAATGTGAAGATAATGGGTGAAGTAAAAGAATCAATATATTTTGGGTAAAGCAAAGTCGGAGCAAATAAATTACAATGGGTAAAACAACAAACGCACGAAAAAATTGAGAAAGTACATTAGATTCGTGAATTTTTGAAGCTATTTATAATATAGTTCTATCTTGTTTTCTTGTATCAGCGGTGTCTTATCTTCCTTTTTCAATTTTGTTATAATTTAGATCAAAGAAAATGCTCAGCAACATCCTTGTATCACACGAATTTTCCGCACGAATATGGAGACAACTCTTGGCTCATCTCATATATTATTCCCTCACATCCGACTTGTCGATAGAAGCTGCTCATACAACAGAGGAAATCACCGCAGAAACGGAGGAGATTATGCCTAATTCAAGTTACACAGGTCGAGATCAAAAAGAAATAGAAAACATATTTAAGAAGCATGGCATTATTCCGGATTTAATAGACGATGCTCCACAATATGAGCTAAATGTAAGTTAATCTGATTTTTTTTTTCTCTAGTACAGATATTGTAAAATATTCTTAGATGGACCACTTCAACAGACAGAATCAAATACATTCGTAATGCTGAAATTATTATGCAATTTTATCTATATTTTAGCAAGTATGGACGAAGCTACGCTAGCATGAAATTTTTCCGCTGAGGGGCTCCATTATAATATAAGAGAAAAATGTTGTGCTTGAACTGGTTGATTTGTGATTGTTTTAATATCTTAGACACTTTACTCAAACAGATGCGATATGCTGGAGCAATCTCGCCTGATTTTGGCACAAAACATCGACCAGAGGAACTAAAATTTCCTCCTTTTGCTATTCGATTTGAAACAATACCACACGTTATGTACTCGTTATTTATGTTCGGTAAGTGCGTTAAAAACCACCTCCTTAAATATCTAACACGTTCAATTGTGATAAATCATTTTTTTTCAAAAATATTAAATTATTAAAGTTAAAAGAAATCCAACAAAGTAAGACGACTAGATACACGAAAAAAAAATGAAAAAGTTTGAGTGGATTTAAAATTGGATTTTAAACGTATATACACTACAAGATTATTTTAAAATTGTATTCTAACCTGAAATATGAAGAGATAATCAAATTATGAGTGCTCGCATATTAACTCGTTCAGTCATTTTGAATGCAAGTATAATTTGAGAACAAATATCATCAATTTATTACGAGAAATATCCAACTAGCATACTTACCTCTTTTCTTGGCAGTAAAAAACTTAGGCACGATAATTCTGCAGATCAAGTTAAAAGGAGAGTTTGAATTTGTTTGAGGGTGTGTTTTTTTTTTACCTAAGGTTTTACAATTGTGTGTATTAACCGAAAGAACAATGGTGCGGCGAAGGAGGCAAAACTAGAAAAGGGACGAAGAACTGACCTGAGAGCCCTGAAAATAGTAACTAGTTCGTAGTAATAGTCGACGTTAATTACCACCGCTTGTTGTAGGCATTGTTACGACCATATTCAAGTATGTATATTTTCTGAGGGTTTGTTGAATTTTTGTATCTCTTTCAGATTTAGATTCACCCTTAAGGAAAAATGCAACGAAGAGACCATACGTTCATTGGAGCTTAGTTAACATACCGAACTATAGTATTTTACATGCTGAAACACTAGTTAAATATATTGGTCCTTCCCCGGAGAAAGGAACAGGTTTGTATTATTCCCCATTCTCAGGGCCGGATTTAGGGGGTGGCCACATGGGCCGCGGCCCATGGTGGCAAATTTAGGGGGCGACAAATTTTGTAATTTTTTTTTTTTAAATATAGCTATAAAGAAAAAGAGGATTCGGCTAAGGGATTCAGAGAAAAAATTACAAGCGAAAAAAGGTGACAAAATCTCTCATTTCCCGAGAGTATATGTCTGATTTTGTCGTCTTCCTGTGATAAAATAGACAGCACCTTTAATTAGTCGAGTTAAGACTAAGAGAGAAACCGAACACGGAATTTGGCCTGGAACGGCGCGGCGCAGAGAGCAATGATGACGATAACTTGAGATGAACAGGTGAAACCCTCGGCGCGGCGCGCGGTCGGCATGTAACACATTTTAGCGCCTACAAGATTGCATGAATACTTCACGCATTGCGTCCAAGACAGTGCGATCGCTGCGGTCAGCAGCGGTCGGCGTGAAACGTATAGCGCATACAAGACTGTAGGGATATTTCACGCATTGCGCCAAACACGGTGCAATCAGCGCGGCGCGGCGGCGGAAGTTAAAATTATTAAAGCACATTTATGTTTGCTCTTTCATAATATTTTCGTTCATTTAATGTAAATGGAAGGCCTTGTCCACACAGAGATAGGTTTGCGGAACTTAACTTTCGGGCCAAGTTACGTGAATTTTTGTTAGTAGTGTTGACAGGGCGCTCGCAAAAAATGTGTCCAACACGAGTAAACGCGTCTTATGCACCCCTCCCCCTCCGGCACGTTCACATGATGGTTTTTATTGAGGTTTCAAACGATTGAGAAGGGGGCGGCAAAATACAGGCGGCCCATGGGCGGCAAGCAAGTAAATCCGGCCCTGCCCATTTTTACACTATTTTGTTTATTTTATAAGCGATCTTCATTCAAACAATGGATCATGCATGTAATTAGGTGTGTATTGAAAAAGTATGTAGTTCAGTGTTTTAAAATAGACGTATGATCAACTCAATTAAATTGGCGCAAGAGACTAGAAAGAACCATATAATTTACAGCATTCACGCATTTATCTCTCAGTGATGATGCACACACATAACGTAGACATCAAATTGAGCGGAGTCAAGTGAAGAATATAGACTCTTACATCGACTCATTTCAAATCTACATTGGATGAGCCAGCGGGACTTGATTGCATTTCAGCGTTTTAATATTTCACCTCGAGTTTTTTTTTATTTTTTTTTTTATATTTTCTGGAATTTTTGTCAAATTACAAAAATAATCATAAAGAAATTTCAAAAGAATGTTTGCAACTAGTTCTTGGATGAATTATATTCATGGTCACACCCTTGGAATTCATCCCTTTTTCGAGCAGTTCTGGTAGTGACAAAAATGTTTTCAACGGTTTGAATATATGGAATTATCCGCGCCACGAGCAATATCTTCAGCTCCACAAAGTGGAGAAAAGAAAAGAAAAGAGTGCAATCATAAAAAACATGTCCGTAATTTAAAATATTTGCCTCAGAAATTGAAATTGAAATTGAAATTCATCTTACGACGAAAAACATGTGTGGAAACATTCGTACTGCAAATTGACACTATTTTTTTCAATCTTCTTACTCTGCTTCAGGTGTTCTACTGTAGAATTTTAATTGTAATTATCAAGCTTATTTAAAATCCACGCTAATTTGGCAAGTATCTTTCCTCTTTTTAAGAGGAAGTTTATTGAAAGACAATTATTTGTGGAAAATAAAATTTTATCGTTTTCTTATCTCACTTACCGAACGAATCCATGCTTTTTGCAGGACTACATCGATATGTATTTTTAATTTATCAGCAGCCATATGTATCGTACTTCAACTACACAGTATCTTATACGGAACCGCGTTTGTTGAATTCGTAAGTAACCGCCATAAGATTAATTTACTTTATGATAGATACCCCTACCCTTCACCGTGGCAGGCAATTTATTCGTCATTTAACGCAAAAAGTTCGAGTGCTTACTTAATATTTTTACAAATAACACAAACAAAGCAAAAATCATGAAAGTGGGGACACAGCTGCTAAAATAAGAAAGAAATAATTTATTGGTTATGCCCCTGCCGCTATAATTTGCGTTTTGTTTTAATTTTAATGGGCTATTGGGCTATTAACAATCACCGGGCAAGACTCAGGTAATAAAGAGAAACAAGTGAAATTCCGAAATTAGGGAACAAGAAAAGAGTACTGATCATTTTTACCTTGCTTCGAATAAGCGTTTTTCCCCCTTTAAATGCATGGTAGCAACTGGCCCACAGGTGTGTGCGGTAGTGAGATTTCATAAACTTATAGTTTGGTTTTGGACGGGTAGGCAACTAAACTAATCGCATGGCAAAGCGTGGGGTGTCGCAGTGATATGAAGGCGCCATATCACCCACTACAAAAAGAGACTGCAAGTTGCACTTACAATAAGATCAACTACTTCGTTGTCCTCCTGTATGGACCACTCTACACACAATGTGTGTAACACCAAGCATGCTTTAGCTATTTGCTTAACGTATGTTCCACGTGTTAATGAGGAAACATGTAACGTGGGACTGAATAATAGGCCTCTAGACAAGTTATGAGTCAAAGCACTCCGTAACATTTTTCCTCTTTGAAATGTCAAGAGGAACACGGTTTATACAACGGGAAGTCTAAGTCAACTCCTAAACAAGATATCGCCTGTGAAACTGCACAAATGCATATCTTCGTTGCGGTGTCTCAAAATCTCTGCTCTTATCTTATTTTTTAAAAGGAGACCGTGCCAACATGATGGTTTGCAGTTTCCGCAGAATAATTTTTATGAAAAGAAGAAAAATCACTGGAATACCCAAGAACTGACTCTCAGTAGTTTTTCATGTAGAAAATAAAATTTGACAGGAAGTCTACGACACCGCAAACCGAGATGCGCATTTCTGCCGTCACATTATCGATATACAATGTGTTCACGATTAACTTTGCTTACATGAAAAAAAATACAAATGCCGTCACTTATTTGATCCTCGTTCAAAATAATTTTAATATCTCGTCCAGGAATTAATTTCTCAACTTCCCGTTGTATGAATCGTTTCTACATAAGATTTTGAAGAGAAAACATGAGACGTTTTCTTCGATAAAGCAGGTATCGTCTGATCGCCCATTATTTACTGTTTAGTGGTCCATTATATCTCAGAGCATTATTTAACTGGAGGTTCAATGGGAAAAGCCGTTGCTTTTCATTTAAGACTGGGTTATGAATATGTTCCTGCAGTTGCTAGTTTAGAAGAACTTAAGTCAAAATTTACTCCAGTGCTGCTTTAGATTTTTTAGTCATATAAAAAATAAACAATATAATAAATTATAAAAACGTATTTATGCTAAAAGGCATCAGGAGAGAGGGGTAGGAAAGAAGGAGTATTCTTGTCAGTCGAGGATTGTCTCTGGTCGAGGACCGACCGTAAGAATGAATGGGAATTAATGAGCGCCATTGATGTCGACAGGGACGAGGAGATCGACGCTGAGGCGCTTTAACTCATAAACCATGTCCACAACACTCTCGTTACATGCCCACGGCTCATGAGTTAGCATATTTTTGCGCTTAGTTCCTTTTGATTTCTTGGAAATTCCCACTTTTCTATTTTTCCAAAAGGAATCACGCCCACTTTTACATTGTTTCTCATGCAGCTTACACGAGCGACGAGCACACATAATTTTTCCCATCCTCTATAGTTCCTTTTAGCCTGAATTCGTTCATATCTTATCCTAGCTTAAATAAATTAATGGTTGATTACAGAAGTTTTCAATGATTATGGAGGAGATTTCATCCTTTTTGTTCCTGCTCTCAGTATCGTATCAGAATAAAATATTTTATTTCAATTACAGGACAGATGACCCACAGCGTGCAAACTGGGATATACGTAAGATCGCTAAAAAGTATAAGCTAGAAGGACCAGTGGCCGGTAACTTTCTTTACTGTGAATGGACTCCGCAATCAGAAGACACATGAAGTGGAATTATATTACTGTAGGGCACGACAATGATTGCTGTGAATGCGTGAAAAATGCTCAAATGTTGCAAAAAAATTCTGTTACATGCAAATAATTCGCGGATTTTCATTTTCGTTTCTCAACACACCTTTGTTATCTAATGATAGAAGGAACTCTTGTGTAACATGTTTAGGCTCTGTCTGCTGGAAAAATAAAATTTGTCCCTCTACGAAACAGGAAGAATCTACAATCTCTTTACAGTCCCTTGTTTTTATTTTTAGGTAAAAAACACACAAACTTATTGCGGTGGACGCACGGGTAGTAAGACAGTTTGTTGGAGTTTTTTTATGCTGAATTTTTAACGCACGTTGGCAAAAAACTCCAACAAACTAAAAAACACAACATGAGCAATCTTAAACAGCCTTTCTTGATTAAAAAAGCATTGATTTGTACTAAGGGGCTTTATCAACCTTTTTCAAACTTCGTGCGAGCTCTTTCTTATGCTTGCGGATCTTGCCATTCACTCTTAAAAAAGTTGACCGCATATGCCTCCTCGAATCCGTGCTTCTTCATAAATGCTTTCGATGACCACTTTTCACGCCCTGCTAGTGTCCTGAAAACACGAGAATTACATTGAAGAAAAAGAAAGACACTTTGAGATAGAGGGTGGTTTTACAAGCTGCAGTGGCGAGGTGTGAGTGATCGATTATGGATATTTCCCTATTTGAAGCTGTATAGAGCGGAGTGACGTGCTGCCAGCGCGAGAGGCTCACTGGCGCCTACAAACCTAAGTGGATACTTCACGCATTGCACAATGCTTGTAGTATCCACTTAGGTTTGTAGGCGCCACTGCGCGTTTTGCGCTGGCTGCCGCCGTGCTGCGGCGCCTGAAGCAACTATTTCACAACAGAGGTAGTGCACAGTATTATACGAAATTAAACGTATTAAGAATGACAAGCATCCTTTAAAAGTACAGATCTTTCCTCGCAAAATAAATCAAGATACTTATCGTACACATGCAGGAAAAATGTAAGAGCCTTTAGCTGAGGCAAATATAGAGGTTTATCCGGCTCAGGTATAACAAGGTGGGAATTTCTTGAAAGATAATTAAGTCCAGTTACACGGAAGAGGAGGTATAGAGAGTTTTAGAGAATTTTGTCTCATGATATTGACGCTCCCCCATTTTTACCAAAACTCTTAACTACATATTATTCTCCGTTGGACCAAACAGACAAAACAAAAAAAAACAAGCAAACCGTCAATTTTCCAAGACATTATACATTTTCATCTAAAAACGTCGAGAGCAATTGTCGTTTGTATTTACATGTGGGCCAATTAACTTTGGGTTTCAACTGGCACGTGAACCAAAACTCCCGTGCCAAAAAAAACGCGTGGACGTAAATTACTGGAAAAAACAGGTGGGCGGACAAAAAATCGTTGACGAAATGTCCTATAACCGTCTTAAAGCACCTTCGTCACTTCGCAAATGTGAGTTTGTGTTTATAGCCATAGTTTGTGTGCTCCATGTTGAAGGTACAACTTTCTTCGCTTTTGTACTTCTTTTTCAGCGTAATTAAACTAATAGTTTGGTCACTTACGTATTTTTGATGCGATGTGCGTCAAATGTCATATTGCCATTAGGTTGATGTAACATAATGTAAACATATCTGTGGACACCTGTTAAAAGTAAATCTATGGAGTAAACAACGAAATATCTTACGGAGAGGCTCATGCCACTTTTTTAAAGAATAAACAGTTTTTCCGTTGAGCAGCTACTCCTATTTTTCAGAGGGCTACATTTGAAATTATAGGATGAGCTTATTCTAGATCAATGAAAAAGGCATGCTATCATCACAGGCTTGTAACCTTTACCGATTCCTATGTTGAGTGTTTATATTTAGGAAAAGATTTTCCCGTTTAAAATTTTGTCAGCATACATCGATAGCAAAAATATAAACCCACGTATCTATTGCGGTGTCTCAAAATTTCACGCTCCTATTTTGTTGGTCGGCAGAGCAACCGTCTTGGTTTAATAGTTTGAAATTTTTACAGAATTTTCTGCCAACAGAGCAGAAAAAAAATCAGGAGAGTTATTAGGAAAGAGAAGATTTATAGATATATTAGGTTGACTAGTTTTCCAAAGAAATAAGTAAGGTTTGACAAGAAGTCTACAATATCGCAGAAGGTGGCACATGTTTTCACCCTTTGGCCATCGATGTAAAATTGTTGTTCTTGGATATTTTATTATTAGAACGCCGTATAAAGATTGCGAGTGTGAAGTTTCTCGAAAAAATTCTTTCAAGCCATGTTAACTATTTCGTAAAATCTAGATCCATTTAAATGAGTCAGTTTGATATTAATAAGTATGTCACTTTTACTCACCTGTGTCTTTTTTTGGAGCCGGGGGAAGATATTCTACCATGTCATCGCCACAATAGACAGCATTAAGAGGAACATTTACGACCAACCAGTATAAAAACTCTCGGTCTGTAGGTGAGTCCCTTGTTGGCTCATCCGGTCCTTTAACATGGAATATTGTAATCCAGTTTTTTAAAACCACACAAAGAATATTTTATGTTTTTTTCGCAAATAGAAAATGTAGCTTAGTGTCGCTTTTGAATTAAAATTATTTATTTTTACTGCGTAAAAAACGAGTGTGTGAATGAAGACTTAGATGCATTTAAAAGTTTTTCTAGAAATCATATTCATTCAGTTACCACCCTTATTATCTCCTCATATTTTTCCTCAATACATCACTAATAATGAAACCCGATAATCATAGTTAGAACCTCAAAATTACTTAACGAATCTTTTTTCCAAATATTACTTTTCTTTTAGCAAATTCTACGTTTAGATAGAACTGAAAAGTAATTTTTCTTTTTCTTTTTATAAAAAAAAAAAAAAAAAAAAAAAAAAAACTTTCTAGCACGGATTTTCACTAGAGGCGACATTATGCAAAGTAAAATTTTTTACGCAGACCAACACAGGAAATGAAATCAGCTGGATTGATGTCAAAATATTTGATGACGCGGTAAACGCTCTGCAGAAGTTCTGCTTCTTAGTTGTCAATTTCAATACTCACACCCAAGTAAGAGCCTACGACAGGTAGTGACTCACCGTGATAACGCAAGTAATAAGTAATTATAATTTAGTGCCACGAAGTAAAGTGTCACTGCATTATCCGTCTAGGAGCAATAGGTAAGTTTATTACCAAGCAGGGCCCAGCATTTATTGAGGGCTGAAGCATGGAGTCAACGCTTGAAAGAACAAACACATTCCCGAGTAGCACAGATATTGCAATAAGTAGCAATTACATTGTAAAAACAAGCAGTGAACTCCAACACAATGTGTTGATAAGGCGCGTCATTAACTCGCACATATCAACCCCTTTAGTTTTCATTTACAGAGATTTCAAAACAGGCAAACAGCACAACAAGAGAATTCACGATCCAACACTGCGAGGTCAAAGACGCACCTTGACGAGACCGTGTATTGTGAAAGTAGAAAGCTATTCGATCGAATTTAAGTTTTTTGATCTGCCTCAAGCAAAATCTTATCAGATTCTTGAAGAAAAGTGCTACGGAATAATTTAAGCGAAGAAAGGAAAAATTCTGTCGAACTCCTAGAAGATAAAGTCGATTTAAAGGTATTTTGGGGCTAAAATACCCAAATCACCGGTAGTAAAAATCCCGTTATATTATTGAAAAGAAATTGACTCGATATAAATGCAATTGCATTAAATACGTCTTGATTTTGTTATTTTAAACGTCTTTCCATGCAAAGAAGTTCAACCATGTCGTTGCTTTATTCATTCATGAATTGAAAGTAAGCAATCTACATCCCGAAAATCTACTGATTTGCCGTAAAAAATTGCAGAAACTTGATATACCAGGTCGATGCACCCACTCGTTGAATTTACCAACCAATTTTGTGAGTGCA